AAAGCTCACACATGTGATGATGAAGGAGCTTATTGCATATGAGACATGACATTGAGTCATGTGATCAAGGTGGAGAAGATCAAGACAAGACTTGGCTTGATGGACTGGTTGCAAGCGTGAAGGGCAAGTCAAAGGCTTTGGAGTGATGGACCGCGTGGCGGTGAAGCTTGAGCAAGACTTGGCGCCGATGGACGATAGCAACGGTGAAGAGCAAGTAGAGTCAAGATCGATGAACCAATATGATCATGTGATGATATGAAGTGGATCATATCATTGTTGATCGTGTTGGTGCATGTGTTGCATCGACATTGAAGGAGATGGAATGGAATGCGCAAGGCAAAGGTATAACCTAGGGCATTTCATTTCACCGGTCATAGGTGTGTAGAGAAGTTTATGACCGGGTTTAGGATAGATAGCCGTACTAACAAGAGGGGCAAACTTGTTTGCATATCGGTCATCTAGTGCCACTCGAGTGATCTAACTTTGCATTGTCGCTAGGATCGAGTGGCGTGGCAAGTTGAGTGGCTAACATCCTTTGGGAAATGATTGTGAAAATGCTAACACACATACACATGGTGGTGTACACTTGGTGGTGTTGGCACATTTATAAAGGAGGTGGTGTTTTGCAGGGGTGAGATGGGTTTGGGTATGCCTATTTTCTATTGCGCCGGATGCAAGTTCTTGTGGTTAGCACATTGGAGCAAGGGTGATGAAGTTAGAAGTGAAAACGAGTTAGTCGCGAAGATGCTGGCGTCGGTCAACTGACCGGACGCTGGATCTGAATGCACCGACGACATTGGCAGTGCGTCCGGTCAGCCGACGTGACGATGACGCAAGTTAGAGTGTGACCCGGACCGGCCGCTGCGTCCGATCAAATGTGATCGGACGCGTCCGGTCCGTGGTCGGTACTCTATCGGGAAACGATCGGACGCCGGGGTTCAGCGTCCGGTCGCTTGAAAGTCTGCTGCGTCCGGTCAAGTCAAGTGACCGTTGGAACCGGGACACGTGGCGTCTCAGGCGGGCGGACGGCTGAGGTCCGGCCGTCCGGTCAACACGACCGGAAGCGTCCGGTCGGCCCGACCGCTGCCCGATGAAGGGGTAACGGCTAGTTTAGCCCTTGGGGCTATAAATAGAAGTGGCCTTTGGCCATGGTGGTCTTGAGCACCTCAAGGGACTTAGTGTCCATGCTTGTGAGTGCTTGGGAGCCCTCCATCACAGATATACTTGATAGTGATCATTCGATTGTGTGAGTGAGCGATTCTAGTGCGATTGCATCGTGAGGTTGCATCGAGTGGCACTAGGTGGTCGTGTTGCAAGCCGGTGGTGCTTGTTACTCTTGGAGGTTGCCACCTCCTAGACGGCTTGGTGGTGGTCTCCGTCGAAGCCCGCAAGAAGCTTGTAAAAGGTGCTCGGAGAAGTGCTTGTGAGGGGTACTTGTGCTCGCCCTGGAGTCATGAAGAGCAACTTTAGTAAAGTGTGTCATTGAGCTACCCTCACTCAAGGGGTAGGTTTCTTGCGGTGCCCGACGTGCGGGCTTAGCGGGTGATGCTAATTAGCGCCGAACCACCAAGTGAGCGGTCGACTGGCGGGGACTAGCGTGTTGGCAAACACGTGAACCTCGGGAGAAAAATCATCGTGTCAACCTTGTTCTTCCCGTTGGTTTGCATCCCCATTACACAAGCTTGCAATTACTTTTATATATCTTAAGCTTGTGTAGTTGCTCTTGTAATTAGTTAGCTTGTGTAGCTTACTAGTTACCTTCTTGCTTGTGTAGCATAGAAGTAGCTCCCTTGCGTGGCTAATTTGGTTTTAGTAACCTTGTTAGTCACATTGCTTAGTTTGTGTAGCTAAGTATTTACGCTCTCTAATTAGGCGTTGGTTGCCTTGTTATTGAGCATTGCTAGTGAGCTTAGTTAGCTTTGTGCTTTTGCTTACTAGCATGTGTAGGAGCTCCCTTGTTACTTAAAGTACTAGTGGCATAGGTTTATGTGACCTTGCTCCTAGAATTGTTTAGGAGAGCTCTAGCTAGCCCGGCACCTTAGTTGCTTTATTAGTATCTTTGCAAGGTGCTAGTGAACATATATAGAGGGGTGTAGTCTTGGCTAGACCGATTGTTTTAATTCCGCATTTATATCGGTTAGCCGACGCGATTAATTTTAGAAAAGACTATTCACCCCCCTCTAGTCCGCCATCTCGACCCTTTCACGCGCGCAGTCTTCGGCCGGATCAAAAACCAACGCCGCGCGGGGGGCCTAAAAACCCTAGGTCATTCGGCTCTTCCCCTTTCTCTCTCTTTGCTCTTTCTCTCTTCTCAGCCACAGCGAAGACAGCCGCCACCGAGCAGCCGCGAGCGAGGAAAGTAGAGCGGGCGGCCATGGCGAGCCTTGGCGCCGTCGCCGGCCCCCTCGTCGGCGCGCGTGCTCCCCAACGGGTGAGCACGCCGCCGTCGAGCGGCCTGGCCGCGGCGCTTCCTTGGCCGAGCACGGCGAGCCCGCGCCCCCGGCTCGGCTTCTTCTCCCGTGCCGGTGAAAAGGTTCATCCGACGCACCCTAACCCTAACGCATTTTCCCCTTTTTGATTTTGAGTTGTTCTTTTCGGGTTTATCCGAATGGGAAAAAAATAGGGTTAGGGTTAGGGTTCGTTCTTGCCGATTCGTTTTCTTTGCTTTCGTTTCTTTCTTTTCGTTCATCCGAATGGAAAACTGGGATTAGGGTTAGGGTTTCGACCTTTCTTTCTTTCTTCTTCCCCTTTTCTCTCTTTCGGATTTGCGTCTAGGGTTCTCGGAATCCGACCCTCCCCTTTTCCCTTCTTTCGATTTGATTTGGGAAATTAGGGTTAGGTCTTAGGGTTCGGCTTTCTATTTTCTTTCCCGATCCACATCAGATCGGTCGGTTTCACTTCCCCGATCTGATTTCTTATCGAACCGTGGCTCCGGTACCATTGTTAGAGTTCATTTTTAGGCATGTTCATCGGATCGGGATGTATTGGTAGTAGGAATAGGTGTTCGGGATTCACAGAGAGACAGAGAGAAAGGGGTTGATAGGTAGCAAACCATCGAAAGCCGTAGTGGTTGAAGCTCCGACCGGGGTTTCGTTGACAGACGCCATCTACGCGCCGGCAGCGACGTTTGGTGGAGAGGGAGTCGGCGCTGTGACATCCTCGGCGGCGGCGTGTGCGTCGGGGTGGCGTTGCCGACATCGGTGGTGCTTCCCGTCGTTGGCAGCGCCCCTTCTCAAGATCGGGTCTAGGGTTAGGATGTCGGTGGGGTGACTGGCGGCGCGGTGAACCTCGTACTGCGAGCCCCGGCCCCCACCTTTCCTTTATAGCGCTGTGCGACGGGGGCCCACCAACCATGTAGAGTTGGGCGCCCCCGATCAGGGCGCGAGAACAAGGCCCAAAGGCCGTTGGGCCTAATGGCGTGGAAGATCAAACCTAACATTATGAACTTATAATCAGCTAGGCCTGCCTTCTTGTTCCCGTTCCTGTCACCCAAGGAACTGACGCACAATGCAAGCGGCTGCTCAAAGCTAGGCTTGCCTTCTTGTTCCCGTTCCTGCAACGCAAGCAGGCATCCGGGACCTACAGACCGTCTGTCTGAAAAGAGTTCGGATACTAGACGGCCAGAAAATAATTTAGATATCCGCACTAACAATGCAAGAGTATTTCTAGAAACGGCCAAAAACAATTTTTAGGATGGTGCAACCGCCTTTATTCAAGCGTCTCTAGAGATCAAGCATGGGGTTTAGCAATTTTCTAGGGGCAGATATGCAGCCGCCCCTAAAACCGGTTTTAGCCGCGACTAATATAACATGGCCCACCCCTAGAAATGTTTTCCAAAAAATTCATACAAAAATTAGAAGACATGGCCACAAAATAGGAAAAAATTCACATACCTAGGAATCTTAATTGAGATCACGATGATAGGCATGTTGTGGTATTCTTGGCACCGGATATGGTTGTCATGGATTTCATAAATAGTGATGAAAGGTGCGTGAAGATTAAGGTGGGTTGGATTAGTTATAAGTGTAATTGTTATTGAAGAGGAAATTAGGGTAGTTAGAGCATCTCTAAGAGTTTTCAAAACCCACTCCCAATCTAAATTTTTTAGCAAGATTAAAAAAAATGCTCTCCAACAATTCCCTATATCAACTCCCAATGGCCCCGTTCGCTTCGTTGAAAAAACAAGCCGAAATACTGTTCCGGCTAATTTGTTGTGAGAGAAAAATACTGTTCCGACTGAAAAAATAAGCTAAAAAGTACGGATTATAAAATAAGCGAACAGGGCCAATATCTCCTCCACACTTGGGTAAAACAATCCAACGCTGCCTGTCTAAAGGTGGAAGGATATGGGGAAGAAAAAAAAGATAGGATAAAGTTCTTGATACAAATATACAAGAAGATAGAAAATATAAAATTAGTTAGGATGATTAGAAATAGTCCAAGATTCTGATGTAAAATTGTCTTCTATGGCCCCGTTCGCTGATCTGAATTTTGGCTGAAACTGGCTGAAAAACACTGTTCCGGCTGAATTGTTGCGAGAGAAAAACACTGTTCCGGCTTAAAAAACAAGCCGAACAAACCAAACTTTAAGATAAGCGAACATGGCCTATATTTTATAGAATGAATATTTTAGAAATTGTTAGAGGAAACCAATAAATATGCTCTCAACTTTTTTTTAGGGTTTTGGGTTAGGTTGTGGATCAAGAAAACTGAATTTGTGTTTTTAGAGAACTATTGCTGCAGTAGGGTAGGACAAACCCATCTCTTTTATTTGGGTGGGACTCACTCATGACTCACCTATCAAATGTCTGCGATCATCTTCTTCTCTTCTCCGTCGCCTCTCTCCCTCAGTCTCTCGATGCAGCTGCCGGGGCACGGCTCGCCCTCTCTAGCTCCGGCGGCCCCGGCGCAGCTGCCGGCGCGGCTCTCCCAGCGCGGGCCCCGGCCGCCTTGACACGGCGGCCGCCGTGGCTCGCCCAGCGCGCGCGGCCCCTGGCGGCATGGCACGCGCGCTCGCCCAGTGCAGCGGCGGCGGGGCGGCCAGCGTGCCCGCCCAGCGCGGTGGCGGCGCGGCCCGCGCGTACGCCTGCGGTATATAAAGAGAGCCTGGGGTTGAGAGAGATGCAAGTCATACAGTATTTGAGTCTTTGCTGCTATTTTCCCTTATAAACTAGATTAGTTGAAAGTGGTTTGCATAATCCTTTTCAGATTTCTGTGAAGTTCTAGCATGATATATACCGAATTCTGATAGACCAAACTACAGACACAATCTTTGCCATTTTGACTCCACATTGACTCGCTGCTTCAAATATACATACAGGTACCTGATCGTCATTGATGATATTTGGAGCGTGCAAGCATGGGAAGTCGTGAAATGTGCATTGCCTGATAACACGTACAATAGTAAAATAATGACAACTACTCGCATTGTTGATGTAGCTAAATCTTGTTGCCCTTACAGACATGATCATGTATTTCAAATTGGACCCCTTAGTGATGAAGACTCCCAGAGGCTATTTTTAAGAAGAATTTTTGGCTCTGAACACAGTTGCCCACCTCAACTGAAAGAAATATCGACTGGAATATTAAAGAGATGTGGTGGCATGCCGTTGGCTATAATCAGTATTGCTAGTATGTTGGCTTCAAAACCAGATACAAAGGAGCAATGGGAGAGAGTAAGGGATTCTCTTAGTTCTGCACTAGAAAGTAGTCCTAAATTAGAAGGAATGAGAAAGATACTATTGTTCAGTTACTATGATCTCCCTTGTCATCTAAAGACTTGCTTATTATATCTAAGTATATTTCCGGAGGACTATGAGATTAAAAAAGATCATTTATTATGGAAATGGATAGCTGAAGGATTTATTATGGAAGAAAGGGGGCAAAGGTTGGAGCAAGTCGGAGAGAGCTACTTCAATGAGCTTATAAACAGAAGCATGATCCAACCAGTTGATATCTGGTATGATGGGCGAGTGGACGCTTGTCGAGTCCATGATATAGTTCTTGATCTTATCATATCCTTGTCAACAAAAGAGAACTTCATTACCAGGCTAGGTGGTCAGGAGTTGCAAGCTTTTCCAGATAAGATACGCAGGTTGTCGATACAATCTGATTGTACCGAAGAAGAAGTGAAACAAATCACTGTGAAAAATGGATCGCAGATTCGTTCACTTAATACCTTTGGGTGTGCTAGTAACACATCGCTATTTTCAGAATCTCATTGTTTACGAGTTTTGGATCTGGGAGCTTGCGAATGCTTGAAGATTAAATGCATTATTGCTAGTATACCAAGATTTCATCAGTTGAGATATTTAAGATTGGGAGGAGACATTGTGGAACTTCCAGAGCAAATTGGGGATCTGCAATTCCTACAAACACTAGATCTAACACAATGCAGTGTAATGAGAAAATTGCCACCAACCCTTGTCCGATTATGCAGGTTAGTCCGGTTATTTGTTCATAGGGGTGTTAGGCTGCCAGATAAGATAGGGAGCATGCAAGCTTTGCAGGAGCTATCCCGTGTCTTCTGCCAGTCTACAGAATTTGTAGAAGAGCTAGGGCAGCTGGCAAGACTGAGAGTGCTCGAGATAGAGTGCCTGGATCTTGATGAGATGCATGGTGACATGGAAAGCAGCAAAATACAAACATTGGTATCATCTCTGAGTGCATTGGGAAAACATAGCCTTCAATCACTACAAATCTGGGACATTAACAAGTCTCCTCTTGAATATTTGATGGTTGAGGGGTTCACAATTCCACATCTGCAAAAACTTGTCATATGGGATGTCATTCCCAGGGTTCATGGCTGGATGGCCAATCTTGTTAATCTCACCCACCTCGAAATCACAGTAGGCAGGATGGAAGGGGAAGCTGATCCCCGTATCCTTGGCTGCATACCTGGCCTTCTATTTCTTGACCTGAAAGTGTTCACAGGGCCCTGGGAAATTCTCTCCATTGCCGACCAAGGATTCCAGCATCTTCGTCAGTTCCATTTCCACAGAATGGGAGGCGGGATTGGGCTCGTGTTTGCACCGGGTTCCATGCCGCGCCTCCAAATCTTTCGCCTCTGTTTCGAAGCAAAGAAAACAGCCAGGTTCGACTACAACCATAGTGGCATCGTGAACCTTTTGAGCCTCAAGTATCTTGGGGTCATCATTGATTCTTACGGAGCAAGAGAGGAGATGAACACCATGGTGACCGACATCAGCAGCTCAGCTGCCACCCTTCCCAACCATCCCAAGCTCGAAATCTGTGAGAGATCTGGTCTCCTGATAAAATCCAAGTTCCGGAATCTCCTGCTGCCAACTTCGAGCTCTAACATAGTAAGTTTTTCATTTCCTTCCCCTTAATACAAGGCTTTGTATTGTTTCAAGATCAGGTACCTCCATCAAGGCTGTAAAAAGGTGCTGATAACATTGCGATTGTGTGACATTTGGTGTCTAGTTTGCCTCCAAGTGACCCTGAAATCCGTCAAGATTTTCTTTCTGTTTCCTCCAGCTAAATTGTCATATTCAATCTGAATTTGAGGAGGGTATGCCTAGTTTTGATCTAACATCCAAATTTTGGCAGATTGTGACGTTGAAATATGCATGCCACCACATATTTATTTATTTATATGAATTTTTTATTGGTCTATATGGAGCTTCTGGTCTACTTACCCAGAGGATCAACCTGGCTTTATCTAATCCAAACTTTCATATAATTCATCTGAATTCAAAATTGGTTAATAATAAAAATACTTGCAGCATATGTTTTACTCTTGGCGCAATCATACGGAAGAAGAAAAAATGTTTATACGTTATGTCGACTTTCCTACATTTTCATTGTTTAAATAAAAAATAGGGGATTCTTTTTTTTTCTCTCCTTTTGTAAGTAATTGTAGTTGTATTCTGTCTTCAGCCGTCAAAATTTTTGTAATTCTCTCTTTGCCCACTCCTGTTTTAGTGTCTTATTTCTTTTTGGCCATTCCCATTAAGTCGATAATGCTAGTAATGTAGTCAGACGCATCCTAAGCAAACTTTTAATTTTCTGTGCAATATATGGAATTCGGATGGTGTACTAATCATTACCTGCAATATTATTAGCATTTGGCATCAAATATACAAACTTGGAAGTTGTTCAATAGTATACTAACTTGGACATGCTTTCTAACACGCCTCTTGTACTTTTCACAAAGGAGCATGGGCAGCCGCGAGGTGGGGAACTGTCAGCTAGTACAAGCGGAGGTAGCGAGGACAACCAACCTGAGGGAGTGAGAGAGTCTGAGCCTGAAAGTTCAGAATTGTCTGCTAATAGAGGTGGAAGCAGTGAGGAAAATCAATCTGAAGTAACGAGGAAATCTGAGCAGCCTGGCAGCTCAGAACTGTCTGCTAGTACAAGCGAAAGCAGTGAGGGCAATCGATCTAAAGGAGAATCTTCCCTGTTCAGGTGCTCGGAAACTTCCCTGCACGAACATGGCCACCCCCAGAGAATAGTAGCAAGAAGATCGCCGCCATCGTGTGCCCACAGTCCTTCATTGTCCAACTCTGCCCAAACTGATGAGCTAGTAAGTAGAAGTATGCAAGCGCTCAATGCGTTATCTGGTGTTAGTGGAGCACAATATGCCAAGGCTGTTGACAGGTTTGGCAAGAAGAAGATCTTCATGGATCTCTTTCTTGAGATGCCTCCACATAGGAGAATGGATTGGCTTCTTCACTTGGATTAATTAGGCATTGATTCTCGTCCGTGTTCTTGTACCATTTGTTTTCTAACAAAAAACGGTGAAAAACGATTGTTGGACATTGTTTATATGTAAATTTGCTATATGTGCTTGCTTGGTTCGTGTCTCGGCTATAGGACACGTTAAATTTGTGGCTACTTTTGCTTGTGGATGCTCTATTTCCCGTCGCTCAGCCATAAGCAAGTTATTAGATACAATGTTGTAGCTCTAACAGATACTCGTACTAGGTGAAAAGAAAACAATCAATTATACGTGTTTGTCCTGAGGAATCAAACTATTCTAGAGCAGATGATGCATTATGGGTGCATTGGTGGAATGACTCTATTCCTTGCAGTAATACCAAGGGGGTGTTTGGTTCACCTACCACTTCCTAAATTTAGTAGCTTTTAGCCCCTTTTAGTAACTTTTTTGTCAAGCACCTTTATTAAAAGAGACTAAACGACCTTTAGTCAGCTAGTCACCCAAACCTTACTAGCAGCTTCTAAAACAACGTCTAGATATGGCTTGCCCTTCATCAATGCGCACCGTACCCTCTCACTCACACCTCACTCTCAGCTGGCTCACGCTCTCCCTCTCGCGCTCGCTCTCCACTGCTTTCCTCGCCGCCGCCACCACTTCGCTCCACGCTGCTGCCGCTCCTCCCAACCCCTCCGCCGGCGTAGCAGCTCCTCCGCTCACCGCTTCCGCCATGGACGGCCACGGGTCCGAGTATCTGGACTATTACTCGCAGTCCTCTTCTCTGGCGGATCTGAATGGCTCTGATCCGTCGTTCCCCCCTGTCACCGGCGACTTCTGCGTCTTCTCCCAAGCGTCATCGTATGGTGCGTGCTCCTCCACTCGACGCGGCATGGAGGGGCTGGATTTGAACACCGACGCCGCCGGCTTCCCCTATATGGGCTCTTACTAGGGGCTCCTCCAAGGTGACTTCGCTCCCGGTGGTAGAGGGCTGCTTCCTCTTCGCATTGGCGCCAGATTCGGTGCTGGAGGGTTCGTTCCTCCTTGGCCGACCGCATGAGCGACCGGATCTGGGAAACGCCCGGCTTCTCGCGCTGCTGTGCGCCGCTCCAGGGTGGGAACCGGCAGTAGCCGTGCCCACGTGCCGGCAGCTAGGCTGCGTGGAACAGTTGCTTCGGGCAGCTTGGCTCCTCCAACTGAAGGAATGGATCCAGAAGATGATGACAACATCTCGCACGAATTGAGCTTGTTCTCTGATCTGATTCGTACTTTGCTCTGTTTATTATCTATGTTATGCATGTCTTATTTATGGTTCTACATGTCTGTTTTTTTACTAGATTCTCATACTTTTCATTGATCTGATGTGTTAGGTTTTATTTGTTTGATTTACAGATCTTTATTTGTCTAATCTGTTTGATCTACAGGTATGTGTTAGGTTGTATTTGTTTGATCTACAAGTTTGTATGAACTACTACTATTTAGTTGTTTGTTATTGAAGTGTGTACATGTTTCATGTAGTACTGTGTATTTGTTTGATCTATATCTGTCTATTTCAATTTTTGTCTCTTGTTCTCTGATTTGCTTCTCTACTAGTTTGAAGGCAAATTGGTCCGATGCAAATACATTTGTGTTCTCTTGTCTTGCTGTTGATGAAATGAGAAAGGACAATTCAAGTAAGGGGACAATGACAAGGAGAGGTTATGATAATTTGAGAGATTTCTATGAGCAACAGACTAGCCAGAGCATGATCTTAGATGTATGAAGAATAGATTCGGTCAGCTCAAGACCATGTACAGTTCTACAAGTGGGCACAACTACAAACAGGTGTTGGCCGCCAAGAAAATGGAGGGACAGATGCACCTCTATCTTGGTGAAATAGGCATACCAGGGTAATCTTTGTGCCTAATAATTTGTTTGCTTGTTCTACTTTCATGTTGGTTTGTGCTAACAGTGAATTCTTATGATTTTTCAGAACACTGCTGTTGAGCTCTTCCAGAACACTGCTGTTGATGGCTCAACTGCCACCATTCCTGGGCTGTCATGCCATGACCAAGACACAGGGATAGATGCAGATAATGAAGATGGTGCTGCTACTCCAGACGATTGTGGCTTACAGCCCAGTTCACCAAGTATCACAAACAGCCGCAAGAGGGCAAACAGTACAATTGACACAACATCTAGTCCTGACAAGAACAAAACATAACATCTAGTCCTGACAAGAACAAAAAAAAAGTTCCAGTGAATGCATTAACCATTTCTATTCTACAAACCAAACAACAACAAGAACAAAAAAAAGAAGTGAGAAGATGATAGACTAACACATTCCTCGAACAAACACCATATTAGCTCCTCAAATCAATATCAAGATACAAATCAATGTCAAATCGGTGATGGACACGACACCACGTTATTCAGCCCTACAGGATATATATGGATGAGCAGCCGTCGGACTGTCGGAGGGCATGAACAGGACTGCAGTCTGTAGCAAGTTCAGAGAAACGACACATGATCCACAATCATCCTCACGATGGGCACTCTTATATGTGTGTACTAGTAGTATTTCTGTTTCTCAATACTGGTCCTGCCTTCACGCATGTACTAGTACTTTCGTAGAGCGGTTGATTTCTAATGCAAATAAATAACATTTGCTTGCCTATACAACAAGAGACTCGAGTACCTAGTAGTAACGGCGGCAGAAGCAGAAATGAATTGAACGAAGTGATCCCCCTCCCCTTGCTACGCTGAATTCCTAGATAATACTAGAAACCCAGGCGCGGCTTTTTGCCGTGCCCTACTGGATCGTCCAGTTATTGGAGTCCATCGTAATAACTTAAAGCAAAAGGTTGAGAGATCATCACTGATAAGCTATGTTGTGCCTTTGGTGCTACATCCCGTGCTGATAGTTCGCCTTTGCTCTTCATTGTTAATAATAATAAACAACAGATCTCAAATGGAAAATGAGCTCCAAATAAATACAAAATAAAAATAAATTTTTTATCATAAAAATCATGGATTTAACAATAAATTGCACGATGGTGCGAAATAGCACACTGCATAAAGGTTATATATTATAATTAGCAAAGTAGCTAAACAGAGCAAGATGAAGGATTAGATTTTCCAAAGCAATTCCACTGTTTTTCTAGAATTACCCACTTGACAATCAAGAGTTAAAATGACACACTTTGTACAATGGTGGAATTGCCATACTCATTTTGGGATTACTTATGATTTTCCTGGCACTACTATATGACATTTTGTTGTACTATAGTCAGAAATTTAGACTACCACTAAGCCAGGCTTCAATCTGAATGAGAAATTAGGAAGATAGAAAAAGAACATTCCAGGCTCCTAGTACATGTACCTTCGTTGGCTTCTTGGAGGCACCTACAAATTCTATATACAGAAACATATGTAGGTGAAACCGTGAAAGTCAATGGAAATTTTGTGATTTACTTTTGTCGTCATTTTTAGCAGGGTAGTGTAGTAAGTCAATAACTCTCAATTCATTGTAAATATCTACCTTTGCTTTCAACTTAATAAAAGGACAGAACTCCTGCCATATTCGCTCAAAAAATTGGATAGAAGTAATGCCCATCTCAGATAAAGAGTGCTGCATAGAAGAGCACAGTACAAATGTTTTGAGCACTATATTTTACCCATACACAGGTTTGTTCAGTTTGGATAGTACCTGCGACACCTTCTTGGAGCTAAATACGTGCTACATGCCCGTTCGCGAAATTTTTTTTGGCCTGGTTCTAGAAACGAACAAAAAAATAACAAAAAAATGGTAATGAAGTATAATATGATTGAAATGCAATCAAATTATTTTTTTAAAAAAAATTATAAATGAGATACAGCAGGTTAGGAGGTAATTATACATACAAAGAACTGATTTGTTTAATATACAGCAAGCAGGTGCATAACGAATTGCCTGATGCTCTGACATTTCAGTTTGAATAGTAGGGTCCTAAGAACTTGACTGAATATGAATATATGAATAGTATAGTAACAAGCAATGCTTTTTTAACACATGATGACATGTAAAGCACAAAGGGCATTAGTACCACAATAATAAGAAAATGATTTTTTTTGATTTTGCATATGGAAACTAATCTGCACCTGGTTTCTAGCCATTTGTACAACAAACTGAACTATCTAACTGATATAACTAAATACCTAAGCTGTGTACTTAACTGTTAATGGAAATGCAGATCAAGGAACTATAAAAGGTTTTGGAAAATAGATTATTGCAGGACTCTCCAAGGAGACGGCGAGAACTCGAGGTGAAGATAGCGGCACCACAGTGAGCGGGCAGCCAGGAGGGAGCGAGTCCGGGGACCGAGCTAGGCGGAACGATTGGTGCCGGTCGGCAAGCGCACTGCTACCATGGTTGCCACATACCTGTTCTCGCTAGGGCTAACAGTGTGGTGTGTCTTTGCGGCCGTAGCTGCGCATAAAGCAGCGAGCACGCGCGGAGGGTGGAGGCCGGCGGGCGAGGTCGCCGTGTCTGGCGCCGCCATTTAGCCGGCTGGCTGGCGCGCCCCCCCACGCTCCATTCATCGTCCGCGTGCCCCACTCGATTTGCCCGCTCTAAGTCTTGCCGGCGTTGCTCGCTCAACCCGTGCCTCGATTGCTCTGCGGGAGAAGGGAGGAGGTGCAGAGACGATGGAGCGGCGGGGAGGAGGAGACGCCGGCCGCGTGCTCAACCCGTGCTTTAGTGCTGCGGGAGAGGAGGAGGAGGCGGGGGACGATGGAGCGGCGGGAGGAGGAGGAGACAGCGCCGGGCCGGCCGGACGGACGGGTCGTTCGCCGAAAGCGGGTTCGCGAACAATCGCGACCTTCCGGGTTCGTGACTTAATGGGTTGGAGACCCGCGACGAGCCCGATCCAACGGTCCATATCGTGTTTCCGCCGGATCCAACGGTTTGCCAGTTAACGGGTGACGTGACCCTAGCGGGTGCCCGCGGTTTGGGTGCAGGATTCATATTAAGAGATTCGCTCTCTGTAAGCGATTGGTTTGTTTCTCGCAAT